ACTGAGGGTCAGTCTGTTACAAAGACTGCCATTAATCCACAAGAAATCACTGTCAAAATACGGAGAATAATACATTTATGAGTTTGCAGATGCTGTGTCTACAATTTTGGCAGCAAGTAAACTGACTCAGGGTCAGGAGACTGAATGTGAGCCAAACAAGCTCTCAGACAGACAGAATTGACTATAGAACTGGTATTTTTATGGCATGCCAGAGCAGAACAGCTGATCTAGAATCAGAACACGAGTTTCAAAATCCCTACGAGAGAACTATTGTTATGAATTATACACAGTTTCTATCTTAAAATGTCTGAAGTATATTCTGTGCACTAATTCTGTGTGTGTGTCAGAGAGAGAGAGAGAAGGAGGGAAGAGTTACTCTGTTGTCTACTGACACACAGAAGGGCTATTCAGGCCCTGTAGTGGATCTTCTGACAGCTCAACAGGTTGCAGCTTTGTTCTGTTTTTCTCACAGAGATGGTATGCTAGATCAGGAGCGTCATGCACCTTTTTTTGGAAGGCATCCCAGTACTGGCTTACTTTGTGCCCTAGGTCAGGAGTTTTCAAACTTTCTGATGCCCAGACCACCAGATATGATGACCTTGCTAAAATATGTATATTTTAATGTATAAATAGTCAAGACCAATTGACCCACTATGTGAGAAAAATATAAAGCATCATATTATAAATGCAATTTTCTTTCCTTTTTTGACATTGTGCTAAACCAAAGTATTAAAATATTATCTGGAATACATTTATTAACAGCATATATATTTTTCTACCCTCTATTAGAATAATATTAGATGTAGTATAAACAAATTATTAAAAGTTAGGGCTGTCTATACATTTGTCACGGATACAGATATTGTTTTGTTTCCTTTAGTTCCTGTTTTCCTGCTATGTTTAGTTTCAGTTTCCTGGGTTTCTGATTATGTCCTTGTTTATTTCTATGGCTACTAATGGTTTGCACCTGTCTTTCATTATGTTCGTCTTGTATTTATACTCCCTGTTATGTTCAGTTTCTTGTCAGTTCTCGTTTATGATTTACGTTAGTGTTTCTCCTATGTTGTTTCTGTGATTTAGTGATTTGGAGTATTTTGCATTGTTAATAAAGGCCGTCTCTTTGTTTCTTCTTCATCTTCGTGCGCGCTGACTACACATCAGTAAAATAATGCGTATGTGTGCAGGTGACATCGCCAACTACTTGTCTTGCATGCATAATACAGCATTATTAATTGTTTCGTTTTGATAACGTTGTCATCTGTACAAAGAAAAAACGTTACGTTTTTAGCACATCGTTGTCATGTAAACGTGTGTGCCTATTAGTTACCATAACAACCAATTCTGTCCACCTGCCCCTTGTTAATTCACTCATTTAGTCTGTGTATATATACTTCTTGATCGGTTCATTTCCTTGTCTGTTCTTACGTCTATCAGTATGTCTTTGGTTAGCGGACGTTTCTCTACACAGCATTTTATATTATTCTATTATCCTGAGTGTTTGTTACTTTGATTTATTGTTAATTAAAGTTCACTGCTGCATCTAGATCCTGCCTCAACTCATTTTTGCTGCAACCGCTCTGTGACAACAGTAAAATAAACCATGATTAATCTAATAATTTCTGAAAACAGAATGAAACAGTAAATTTCCATTGGAGTGACGCACGATGACATAATCTTTGTTTATAACAAATGATCTGATCATTTGGACTCGTTACTAATTATTTATTATCAAAGATAATACTCTATACTCAAATTCCACTTGGCTCAAAAATCAGGTTATCATTTTCACAACAACAACAATTTTTTTGGCGAAATCACAGATTGTATTGACAAACACCATCACTTAAACATGCTAGTCTGACAGCTGAGTTTGAAATGAAAGAAATACTGCATGTATCACGTTGAGGCTGGTTAATGAAGATATTCTCTTGGGATACAGAAACACTGCCAGGTTGTCTCAGTCTGTTCCCCTCCCCCATTTCCTCATGGGCCGCTCTGATTAGCCAGTGGCAGCCACCCTACTGCCTGCCTTTGTCTGAGCTCTTTGTCTGACCTCAGGTATTGCACAAGACTTCATCTATTTGGTAACCTGCGATCCCACTAAGCACACCACACAGTTGAACCAGGTTAAATTGTTTAAAATGATGTGAGACTAATTACAAATACGCTTTCTTTTGTTTTTGCTTAAATGAGTGGGGGTTGGTGCACCACTTTAACACAACACTCACCCACCCAAGCAGACAATGTACAGGGTCCTTGACTGTGTATAATAACCCACTTCAGTAGAAACTGATCATCACATTTTCTTGAAGAATCATTTGTCATCTGAACTATAGGCTACCAAATATAGAAAGAGCAGTCATTATAAACTATTTCCCGGGGTAAATTATAACATAAAGCAATATTGTTCAGTAACAGAATCGCACTGATCAGCAACATAGCACAAAATTGTCTTTTAACAGATCTCCTTCTGCTGGGATCTGTCATCGGCACCTGATGCCATTCTCATACCAGCCACATGCCTCAGCCTTAAGCAAACACAAAGTCGAAGGCTGTTTATAGCACTGTTTTGGATTGATTTGAAATCTGCACAGAATAAAGTCTGATTGTCTGAATAGAGCTAGGCATGAGGCTAGGTAATGAGCTTCATTACACACAGTTAATCAGTATGACATGGGTCGTCTACTATCGGATTAAAGCATAAGAACCAGTTAGGTTAAACCAGGCTCAGAAATACAAGAGAATAATCAAAAACAGCTCCGGACTGCAGGGAACAGATCGTTTTCTCTTTAGTTTACATGACAGTGGGTGATCTGTTCTGAAAAATACACAATTTACTATATAGCTGATCATTTTGAGAGTTAACTCTGGTATGCAGCTCTTATGATTGTAAAACATCTCTGTAACTGCTTATGAAGCCAGGTCTGTCATCACAGACGGAGCTAAATATTCTATATCGACTTTGATCAGAAGCAGGGACTACTTGCTCTCTGGCAATCTTTGGAACAAGACACATTTGTTAAAAGCCTTGATCCTTTAAATTTATAAGTACATGCAAAGATCATGTACACGGTTGTCACACTTGTTTACAAGAAATGTTATTAGACTTGCTATATAAATTGTATTCACTTTGCTCTTAAAACGCACAATTGAATCTGAGCAATGCCACCCGTAAACGTACCCGTACATCTTTCACAGGCCACTTAACTAAAGATTAATGTCCTCCCTAGTAATGCGGATCACTTTTATGACAGAGTGCTTTGAATATAAAGCTATGGAACAGAGAATGGAGTTTCGGTGAGGACATTATTTTATTCCCCAAAGAACTTGACTCCATTACTATTGATTCTTATCTAAGCAAATCTAATATTAAATCTTAAAAAGTTTATAGGACATCGTTTTTTTTTTCAAGGAGACATGATGCACTTTTACATTTGACAACTTTTGAACTAAGACTTGGGGATCCAAGTCATTTTAAAACATTTAGGCCTGCATGTCCCAAGTCCCAGAGCAAAATTCTGACGAGAAACTTTACTTGCACATTTTTTGTTTGGCATACACCATGTGTTTAGTTTGTCAAGTCACCTTTATTATTTATATAGCGCTTTATACAATACAGATTGTTTTAAAGCAGCTTTAAAGGCATAAGCAGAAAAGAATGATTCAATGATGCAAACAAAGTTCAATTCTGCTCTAAAGCAGCTCTAAAAAGAAAAAAAGTGTAATTGTGAGGTCAATTCAGTGTTGATTCAGTTCTGTTCAATAACTGAAAGATCATCCAAATATGAAATGAGTTCAGTTAAGTTCTGTAGAAAACAGCGATGCCATCATTCAGTTCAGTTCTCATCCAGCAGTGTCAGTACAGCCGAATCAACCATTTTCCTAATACCATTATGTACCATGAGTGGTTTAAAACTAGTTTACCAGGCCTTTCTCTGTCCTTGCAACTCAGACTGATAGAAAGCTGACCTAAATGAGAAAGGTCACAACACTGTGCCTACAGCAAGAGCAGCTGTAGCACACCCATACAGACAGACCTCCCTCAGTCTTTGACTTTAGAGGAGCTCCAAACAGAGATTCATAGGAGCTCACTTCAATATAATTAACCCCATTGTAAGGGTCAAACATGCTGAGATAGTGGCTCTTGTTAATGATACTGCCAGAATTTGAGGGAGTGGACTCACCCTGATTGTGTTAGCTATAACATTTCATTCACAAGCATTCTCAAATATTGACTTGATATTATGCGTAGAGCTGTTAATTAACATATGTTAATAAATCTTTTTTTTTTTTTTTTTTTTTTTTTTTTTTTATAAGTGATGACCGACATGCAGGGACTTAGTCTGAATTTGGGTGACTTTCCTAAAAGGACAATCCAGACACTAAGTGGGTCAAAGCCATTCCAGAATTCCCTGGATATTCTCTCTCTCTCTCTCTCTCTCTCTCTCTCTCTCTCTCTCTCTCTCTCTCTCTCTCTCTCTCTCTCTCTCTCTCTCTCTCTCTCTCTCTCTCTCTCTCTCTCTCTCTCAAAAATCATGTAATAATGGGCTCCTTAAACAGTTTTTATTTATTTATTTTTCTCCATGAAATGAGTAGAATAAGTCTGAGCAATTTCTGAGGACATTTACAAAACTTCTGTTCTGCCATTAAAAAATTTAAAACACAAATTAATGATTTCCTATTGTTCTTTCATCACAATAAGATTAATATATAAAAACAACTAAAACAACAACAACAACAACTCTGAACAGCATAATTAGATAACCACAATATAATATTTTGCTTTTGCAGTTATTTATGAGATAAATAAAAAATAGCTTAGGGCCAGACCAATTCATTTCATTATAAGGAATTTCCTCATACGGAGTGCTGTGCCATTATATGCAGCTCTAATGCTCTCACCCGGGTGTGTCTAGTGGGCGGAGTCTTATTCATAAGCCCCGCCCCCGGCAGTCATACGCAAATGAGCCGGTGTCCTCCTCAGTGTTTTCTCTACACAAAGATACACAAGCGCACGCCGCGCGAGACGAGCAGGATTGCCGCTGGGACAAACACGAGCTTCTTCTAATACACACAACAGACACATACCCGTCAAAAAGTCGTTTCTGAATGAGTTTGCCAAGAGCTTTTAAAGAAAACTTTAAGCTTAATCAGAGGAATTACTGTCTGGACTGTACGATGGGAACATCAGCTTTATCTTAAGCGTGTGAATGCAGAGCATCTATACAGTGCACGGAGTTAGTGGTACCCTGATCACCAAACACTGGACAGGACCATAATACAGATGGATACCTTCTTTGTTGAGGTAGGTGGAAAACTTGAACACTTCACTGGAACAGTCTCTCCCTGTTTCCTTTGTGATGGTGCTGCCTTTAAAAGGATGTTGCAGAGCTTGTTCCAAGTTTTGATCACAATTGACATGTTATCGTTTTACTGCATAGCTAACGGCGTTTAATACATTAATATTTTAGCATCTTTAAAATATTTAAACCAGAATAATAGCCTATGTAGGCTATGCATGTCTATTTTTATGTCTCTCTGTCTAGACTATATTCATAGTTCATTTTGTCCATTGTTCTTTCTTTTTTGCTAAATCAGGTCTGATTAACTATAAAACCATGGTCTATAAAGTCTAAAGGCACTTGTCATGGTTCATTATTAGGTGTTAATTCTGCTAGGACCCTCTGTCCCTCCAGGTGAGGAAAACTGGGGAGTTCCTCTCACATTCATTACAAGTTCAAAGGTTATTTAACACCACTTCACTGTCTTTGAAGATCACTAGTGCTTGCAGAACAGCAGTGAACAAAATACCATCTTAATCCAGAGTAAAATGATCATAAATGCCTCAATGGAGACCCCCAGGATGCGTGTCATGCCTCCCTCTGTCGGCTTTGCTGTACAGTCTCTGTGTCAGCATGAGAACAAACCTGCTGGCAATGAAAGCTCAGACCTCACACACAACGCGCTGACCCACTGCAGCATTATTAACTAGATACTAATGTATAGCATTCAGGTGGCCTTGTAAACCCCCTCCCCACTTCCAATGTTTCAGACCACCAAAGAGTATGTATGGTTCAGTGCTGTAGTAGACACAAAAGAAATACACTTTTTTTTTTTTAGAGTTAGTTAGAAAAGCCTATGTTATAACCAGTTGTTTTTTTTGCACTGCAATTGTTGAACTTTCCTAACTTTGGTGGTCTAAAAGTTTTGAAGAGTCTAATTAAAGGATTAGTTCACCTCAAAATGAAAATGTCCTAATAATTTACTCACCCCAATGCCATCCAAGATATCCATGTCTTTCTTTCCTCAGTGGAAGAGAAAATAAGTTTTTTGAGGAAAACATTTCTGGATTTTTCTTCGAATAATGGACTTCAATTGCAACCAATGTTTTGAAGTCCAAATCAAGGCAGTTTCAAAGGTCTTTGAAGTGCTTTAACCGGCTGTGCACGATCGCAGCTGAGGAAGAGGGTCTTATCTAGCGAAACGATAGGTCATTTTCAAAAATATATATATATATTTTTAACTACAATTGTTCAGATTGGCTGACCCCCATGTCATCCAAGATGTTCATGTTCTTTCATGACTTCAACGGGGACCAACGGGTTAAAGGTCCAAATTGCAGTTTCAATGCAACTTCTCTACACAATCCCAGCCGAGGAATAAGGGTCTTATATAGCGAAATGATCGGTCATTTTCTAAAAAAACGAAATGCTCGTCTTGCACTAGGTCTGCGATGCATGTCCACGACTTCTTGCATTACGTACGTTGGAAAGGTCACGCGTGATGTAGGCGGAAGTACCGACCCAGTGTTTACAAAGCGAACGTGCAATGACTAAGTCAAACGCCCTTCACAAAAATAGGTAAAACAACAATGTCGGACGCTTTTGAAGTTGGAAAGACCTCCTTCTCCACACTTGTAAACACTGGGTCGGATGACATGGTGGTGAGTAAATTATCAGGAAATTTTAATTCTGGAGAGAACTAATCCTTTAAAGAATACTTATTTGTACCCCATTTCCACAAAACACTATACAGAGTCACATACTTTGTATTGTGATATATGAAGTCGCATATAAAGTCAGGCTTTCATAGTAGAGCATTGGAAGACCACATAAGGTCTAAATGGGAAGAGTAATTAAACATCTGTTTGGGGTGGATGGAGGACAGAAGGGGTCTGAGACACATCTAAGATTAAGAGCCTGAATGATAAGGCTTTAAGTAACAACGCAAACATTCCAAGATTATTTATAGACATGGGCCACTGTCAGGAAGAAGTTCCCATTCGTTGGCCCACACAGCGGTCAGTGTGGCTTTAATTAATCTGGAGCATTAAAAGCATTTGAATTCAGATATAAAGCTAAGACTAATGAAATTATTGAAGCATGAATCAAAAGTATGGTTTGGAATTATTACAACAATATGTCTGATAGTCGGTATGGATTGTTGTAAACTTTGACTTAAAGATTCTTCACTTTTCTTGTATGATTTGTAATTCAGGGTTGGTTAAACTAACATTACCACTGTTATGCTTCACTGATATGTCAAAGCATTGCCTCCCTTCCCATCTGAATCCACACTTAGGACAAGGCGTAGTAATATTGCCAAATCCCTAGCTTCCCCTCCAGGCTGTGTTCTCCCTCAGACAAGCCCTCATCCTTCCTCCGCCAGCTGCTGAGTCACTAAACTACTGCATACTCAGAGTGTGTCATTTAGATCATTCTGCTGGAGCTTACCTGTCCATGCCTATTGATCCTAATGACTAAGCGTGGTTGTTCCCAGACAAACTAGTGGATTCATCCTCCCATGGAGAGATTTACGAAGCATGGGATTCCCATTCCGCTCAACATTCCCACCTGTGATAGACTCATCACTGCTTTAAAGTAAGACTTAACCCTGAGTTCCCCAAGAAACGGTATATTTAGTGTGTTAGAAGCCTTTGAAAGCCATAAAAAAAGTTAATAGTGATGCATCAACATATTTTTACAGAAACAACAAAAGCAAAAGTTTTCATTTACCCAAAAACTGAAGTATAAAGTTTTGGTAATTTACTTGGCATTATTGGTTAACTGAACTCTGCTGTTCAGGGTGTCGTGTTCACAGGTGATCAAAAAATTGGTTCTTCGTCAATAAGACGCTTGATATTTTAGCTGAACATATTTTACGTATTGCTATTCTTGCATAATTTTTAGTTGTTTTAGTAGACAGTGAACTGCGTCCACGCTGCTGACATGTTTTGATGTAGCTTATCCATGTTGTGTGCAGATTTGGCACAAAATAGATGCTAACACTGTCAAAACGCATTATTGGAGAAGTGCTAACTGTTTTGGTCAATCATTTCGGATGTCGAAAACTTTTTTTAGTATTGTATTACTAATTTTTGATTTTCCCTCCAATGTATATTGTGTAAGTTGGCATTCCGCTATGTGTTTTACATCACACTTGAGGAAGGTCTGCCTTTATTGTATATGTCCATTTTTTAACGCACCTCTAAAAAACCTAAACCCTCACTAATTCTCTCACAATTTTTTTTTAAATGGATGAATGAGTCATGTGTGAACAGGCACTGCAGTGAAAGTCTCTGTGATAATGTTGACACGAATTGGACCCTAAGATACAGCCGTAACTAAACTCAAAAATGTGGCCCCATTTTGACTCGTCTCATTATTTTGAAGTTGAGTCACCCAATTATTATTCAAACTAATTTACCCGGGCACTCGTGTCCATCTTTAGCATGAAGGAATGTTTATGTTTCTCGCTCGCATACTGACCAGAGGAATTCAGCTTATTCCTCAAGCAGCACATTAATTAATCAGAACCACAAATACATTTCCGGCTCAGTCCAGTGTCAGCTATTATAAAAATACCCACAACGTCCACCTCAGAAGAGCGGTCTAAAAAAAGGATGGATGAAGTGATCATATCGCCTGGAACAACAGCTGACCTGCTTTAAAAATGGAATTCCTGCTTTTAAAGTGTCTCTCGAAACAGTGTCTCGAATCCAGCAACAGATTCCTATTCCAGATACATTCCTGTCCAGAGGATCTCAGTCTCTGTAACCCTGACCCCGAGATTCCAAGCCATGCCTCTCGGTCGCCCCATAGCTGTTGGATTTGAAGTTCCTCTGGTTTGGGTTTCACACTATTCTTCTCTGTCTGGTTTTAACTTCCTTAGGCAACCTCTCATGTTGATGGCGACTGAAATCATAGCTTTTCCTCCTTACTCTGTTGGGTGTACTAGACAGGAAGAACAAAACAATAAATAGATTTTGTGTTCCTGTTCCCCGCCACATCTATTTTGTTTGTCAGGCCTTGGGTACATCTCTTCTTAATAAGAATCCATGTATTGAGAACTTTGTTAAAATCTAGTTTTTGGGGGAATTTGCATGTTTATTGTCAATAATAGGGCTGTTCTAAGGTTTCAGGGGCCTAGTTGCATTGTCATAATCTCTTATTATGACTAATCAGTCATGAGGCTGACTGTTGGCACTCAGTGCTTTCGTCATGCTGCGGGTTGGTATGAAGAATTATGAATTGTCTTCTCACAGGTGCAGGAGTTATTTCAGTTCAAACCGGATTGCTAGATGATCCAGTGTTGAGCAGGAGTGGGGCTACATGAGTACAGCGGCAATCCCATAAGGTTATATTAATCCCTTTCAATGCAGTCTGGACGTTAGCAAAGATCGCTTTTTCTCAGGACTGATGCTTTTATTAATGCTTCTCTGTCATATACAGGTTTTGAATGTGGGTTGACAGGATTTATTCTCTGACCGTTTTTTTTATAATTATTTTTTTAACATGATTATTGGGCTGCAGTGTACATCTGGACACAAACCCAGATGGATTCACCCCAATCCAGTTACTCTTTGTTCACTTTGTGGGTTTAATTAGTCTTGTGTGGCCAATCTGTTGTTTATTGGCTTGTTAGTTATGGAGTTTAAGTACCCTAATGCCATTCCTTCTTTTTTTTAATTAGAAAACTGGTAGAAATAGACTCTCAGATGTTCTCATCACAGGATGGCGGTTTTTGAGTCGATTTTGGACAGGTTGTACAGTAAACCACAATGTATATGACCTTAAAAGTCTTGAGCATGACTCAGGAAGACCACATCCCTTTTGGTGTGCTATAAATGGAGTTTATTTCTTTGGAACACGGCAGAAATTTTGAGCTACTGAATACAATATTGTTATTTTTGTTGTGATTAGGCACTAGAAAGATCTGTAATACATTCATGTTAGACAAATGTATTTTGAAATGTAATTCGCTGTTTTGTAAAAAAAAAATGAGTTTAGCACTTTTTTTCTAAAA